TTTTATGTTTGAGGTAATTATTGATATGAATGTTCTGCCATTTTGTTAATTGTTTTGGATTTGTTTTTGTAGGTCTTTTTTTCCCTTTTGTGATTTGCTAACTTCTTTAGTGTTGTGTTTGGACTCCTTTTTCTTGTGTATATATCTATTATAGCATTTTGGTTTGCAATTGCCATGAGGTGTTTATATAGCAGTCTATATATACATGATTAAGTTGCTGATCTCTTAATTTCAAATACATTTTATAAACCCTGCATTTGTACTCTCCTCCTCTCATGATTACTGTTTCTGATACCATATTTTACATCTAATTGTTTTGTGTATCCCTTAATTACTGTGGATATAGATGATTTTACTACTTTTGTCTTGTTACCTCCCTGCCCTGTTAGCTTTGTGTGCGCATGATTTCCTACCTTTAGTGTACGTTTGCCTTTATTGGTATACAAACTATTTTGTAGTATTTTTAGTTTCTAGTTGGGGTAGATGCTGACATTTAAACTCTACTGTTACTTGTTTTGCTTTTAGACCACTGATAACTTTCATCTTGCAAATTTCATTGTTATAACTGGCCTTCATTTTTCTTTATTCAATCAGTTCTGTTTTTTTTTTTTTTTTTTTGGCGGTACGTGGGCCTCTCACTGCTGTGGCCTCTCCTGTTGCGGAGCACAGGCTCTGGACACGCAGGCTCAGCAGCCATGGCTCACGGGCCCAGCCGCTCCGCGGCATGTGGGATCCTCCCAGACCAGGGCACCAGTGTCCCCTGTATTGGCAGGCGGACTCCCGACCACTGCGCCACCAGGGAAGCCCAGTTCTGTATTTTTGATGATATTCTTAGTGTTGTTTTATATCTACAATTTGGGGTTTGGAATGAATATTTCTTTAATATTTTATAGGATTTGTTTTTTGAGTGTTTGCCTTAACTTTTTTATTTTTTTTGATGTGGACCATTTTTGAAGTCTTTTATTGAATTTGTTACAGTATTGCTTCTGTTTCATGTTTTGGTTTTTTGGCCACGAGGCATGTGGGATCTTAGCTCCCCATCCAGGGATCGAACCCACACCACCTGCATTGGAAGGTGAAGTCTTAGCCACTGGACTGCCAGGGAAGTCCCCGACTTAACACTTGTTTCCCCGAAAGCTGTATAACCTCTAGAAATTTTTGAAAAGGTAGTCTATTCCTTTTACTGTTTCATATTAGTTAGTACCTATTATGAACCCATACACCTTTGTTTTTTTTTTTTTTTTCATACACCTTTGTTTTAATGGGCTATCTTTTTTAAAGGAGTTTTAGGTTCATGGAAGAATTAGGTGGAAGTTATAGAGATTTCCCATGTATTTTCCACCCCAGATATGCAGACCCTCCCTCATAATCAACACCCGACAGAAGAGTATGTTTGTTATCACTGAGGAACCTACATTGACATGAATTACCCCCTCAAAGTCCACATTTATGTTAGAGTTCACTCTAGGTGTTATATATTTTGTAGGTTTGGGCAAATGTATACTGACATGTGTGTACCATAATAGTACCATAAAAAGTAATTTCATTATTTAAAAATCCTCTGTGCTCTACCTATTCATCTCTCCCTCCCTCCTAACTGCTGCAATGACAGATCTTGTTACTGGCTTCATACATCTGCCTTCAGCAGCATGTCATCTAGTTGGAATCAAACAATTTATATAGCGTTTTCAGATTGTCTTCTTTGACTTAGTTATATCCATTTAATTTTCTCCATGACTTTTCATAGTTTGATAGCTCATTTCTTTTTAGTGGTGAATAGTATTTCCCTTGCCTGGATGTACCACAGTTTATTACTCCATTCACCAACTGAAGGACATTTTGGTTCCTTCCAAGTTTAGATGATATGGATAATGCTGCTATAAATACTTATATGCAGGGAATTTATTTCTGCATGTTTGTTTTTTGTTTTTGTGGCATGTAATAGTTCCTCATTCTTTTTTGTTGCCTTGTAATAGTCCATGAACGAATACAACATTTTGTTTATCCATTTGTGAGCTGTTGGACATTTGGGTTGTTTCCACCTTTTGGCTATTGTGAACAATACTGCTAGAAACATTTTTGAACATCTTTTGTGGACGTATATTTACATTTCCTTTTGCATAAAGCTAAAAGTGCAGTTGTTTGGTCATGTGGTAATTTTCTGTTTAATCCTTTGAGGAACTGCCAGTGTCTTCCAGAAGTGCTGCTGCACCATTTGACATTTCCACCAGGAGTGAGTGTATGAGGGTTCCAGTTTCTCTATATCCTCACCAACACTTGTTATCTGTCTCTTTGACTACAGCCATTGTAAGGGGTGTGGAGTTGTACCTCATCCTGGGTTTGACTTGCATTTTTCTATTGAAAAATTATGTTAAACATCTTCTCTGTGTGTGCATATTGGCTATTTTTCTTTGTTCTTTGGAGAAATGTCTGTTCAGGTCCTTTGCCCATCCTAAAATTGGGTTGTCTTTTTTTGTTGAGTATAAATAAGTTTTTTGTATCTTCTAAATGCAAGTGCCTTGTCAGATATTTATGATTGGTGAGTATTTTTTATTGTTTTGTAGGTTTCCTTTTCACTTTTAGAGGGTAGAAGCTTAAAGGATGCAGGAGATAATTGAGATTTTGTTTTTAAACTAGGTTCTTATAGCATCCACAGTAACAGTTCCAAAATGGATTTTCGTGACTGGGAGGCCTTTAGGTTAATTATAAGTATTCCTCAGTCTTAACTTTCTGGGATTAAAGGTATTTAGGCCCACTTGGGGGTGCTTTTGTTTCTACCTGCAGCCTCTGAGAACTGTGTTTGCACAAATAATCATGTGGATCACAACACACATGCTGCTGTCCTTAGACCACGCCCCCTCCACCCATGGCTACTGTTTTCTGACTACATTCATCTTGTTTTTACATTTCCTGTTTTTACAGAATTAATTGTCAACGTATAAGACATGTTTTGAGCAGATCAAGTTTCACTCCCAAAAACCTTGGTCTAGAAGAGTTACCTTATTTGACAGGAAAACCACCTTCCATTAACTTAATCCTTTGGGAAGATGATAAGTGTATTGTTGATCCTTTTCCTAATAATATCTGACTAATAAAGTGGAGCTAAGCCTACTTGTTATTTTTTTGTCCATCCTGGCTTGTTACCAGGATTCATTTAGTAGGAAGAAGTCATGATGTGGATAATGACAAAAACTGAAAATTCAAAAATTAGATGTAGTTTACTTTAAATACAGCACGGCTTACTGATATGTCTAATTAGCTTTTCTGTAAAAAAAAAAAAAAAAAGAACCCCCCCCCCCAAAAAAAAATCCCCCATTCATCATTCAGTCATAAGGTATTTGTCTTTCTGTGTGTCACTCACTTCAGGTAGCATAATGCCCTTCATGTTGTCACAGATGGCAAGTTTTTTACACTATATATATTTAGACATGTCACAGTTTCTTTATTCATTCATATTCATTGATGGACACTTAGGTTGTTTACTATTGTAAATACTGCAGTGAACAGGGGGATACATATATCTTTTTGAGATAGTGTTTTCATTTTCATCATATAAATACCCAGAAATGGAACTGCTGGATATTATGTTAGTTCTATTTATTTGCAGAACATCTGTACTGTTTTTCGTAGTGTTGGCACTAAGAGAACACAAGGATTCCCCTTTTCTCCACATCCTTGCCAACACTTGCTTGTCGTATATTTATGTCTATGTTAAGGCCATTCTAAGAATTGTGAGGTGAGATCTCATTGTGGTTTTAATGTTCATTCTCCTGATGATGATGTTGAACATCTTTTCATGTATCTGTTGACCACCTGTATGATTTCTTTGGAAGAAAATCTATTTGGATCTTCTGCCCATTTTTTTTTTTTAATCAGAATTTTTGTTGTTTTTGCTGTTGAGCTGTGAGCTCTTTATGTAATTTAGATTTTAAGCCCCTTAAATATGATTTGTAAATCTTTTCTCCCAACCCATACGTTGCCTTTGCATTTTGTTGATAGATTCCATTCTTGTGCACAAACTTTTTAGATTGATGTAGACCTACTTGTTTATTTTTGTTTCTTTTGCTTTTACTTTTCATTTCAGATTCAAAAAATCACTGACACGATATCAAGGAGCTTACTATGCTTTCTTCTGGGGTTTTTTTTTTTCAGGTATTACATTCAAGTCTTTACTCTGTTTTGAGTTAATTTATGCATATGGTATAAGATAGTGGTCCAGTTCCATTCTTTTGTATGTGCCTTTCAGTTTTCTCAATACGAAGTATTGATGACACTGTCCTTTCCCCCTTGTATATTTTTGGCTCCTTTGTTGTAAATTTATTGATTGCATATGTGTGGGTTTACTTCTGGGCTTTCTAGTCTCTTCCATTGACTTACATCTGCTTTAAAGCCAGTAGCATTTTAGTTTCCATTCTTTGTAACATCGCTTGAGATTAGGGAATGTGATGCCTTCACCTTTTTTATTCTTTCTGAAGATTGCTTTGGCTATTCGGTGTCTTTCTGGTTCCACACAAATTTTAGGATTATTTGTTCTACTTCATGTGCATGTTTTTGCCTGCAGAGAAGTTTGTGGCTCATTTGTGTAACTTCCAGGTAGTGCGATTGCTAGATCATATTTAAGACTGTAAGAAACCGCAAACTCTTCCAAACTAGCTGTACCATTTAGCATTCCCATCAGCAATGAATGAAAGTTTCTGCTGCTCTGCATCATTTCTAATTTTTAATATTTTCAGTGTTCTGTATTTTGGCCACTATCATAGGTGTTTAGTGGTATCACATTTGTTTTAACACACATTTTCCTCAATTAAATTTTTCTTATTAAGTTTTAGTCACAGGTTACCATTCAATTGATTTGCTGTAGTTTTCTATAAGGAAGTTTTGATTTCTATTTTAATTTCAATTTTTTTTTGCTGCAAATAATTGTTTTGCTGGAAGTTTTACTTTCATTTTAGGTTCATAGGATTTGTTGGCAAAATAACCACTCTTACACTCAGTTAAACAAGAATTCAGAGAGTTCATTGAATTAAAAGATTACAGTATACTAATTAAGAATAATATAACTAAGAAAGTATAGTAAAGACAGGTTTATTACATCATGGAATTGGGGAAGCACCTACATCCAGATCCAAGCAGCACTGGGAAGTCCCTTCAGCAGCAATCTGGAATCCCAGCTGGGAAGGCCCAGACGACAGTCAGCCTGCGTGCAAATTTGCAGCTCTGGTTATTGTCATAAATGCCTTGGTTTTAAGTCATAAGTCTTGGAGTGTTCTCTGATCCCTGGGGGCTGGCCAGGCCCTCAGGGTGCAAGAAGGCCCCAGACTTACGCCCTATCTTATCTAATGATTTACAAGGTGTGCTGCCTGCAGGGAGCTCAGCAGCTTGGCACGTAGCCAGCTTTTAGGGTCACTGCCCGGTCAGAGAGGCCTAGTGCTGCCTCTGAAACCTGAACAAGACTACTTTACTAGCTTCCCCAACATTAATTTATTCTAATAATTATTCTCCCTGTGTAGATTCTTCATGCACATCTTGGTATGCTGATATTTAAATAGCTCATTTTATTTAAGGAAATGTAGGTAATTTTTTTATACTCCATGATTTCCTCATTATTACTGCTTCTAAGGATGTTTCTCAGAAATTTTCTTACATTCCTTGAATTACATATTTCAATGAGGTCTCTTTTGTTCCCTGTCCTCTCTTTCAACTAAATTTCATCAAAAGTCACCTGGTCCTTGTTGATATACATCCTATTATCGTCCTGTTCTTCAGGCTGTTAATTGGCTGCTTAGGTTGTCGACCACATCTCTGCACATAGAACTCTGCCATGGATCAGCTGGGCACTGCCAGAACTGTTTCTATGGTTAAACCCTGCTGTGAACAACACTTGTCCATACAAGTCATTCTTTCCCCTCTAGGTTGTTTAGTAATGCCCCTTAAGGTTACTATTTTCTGTTGGTGTTCCAGAAGTCAAAATGCATCACTTTTTGTTAAGTGCATATTAATTTCTATTGATAAGAGTAAGTATATCTTTAGTGATATATCTTTAGTGATACACATACAGTAAGAGCACTTCTCATCTGATGTCTGTTTTATGTTTGGGATTGGAATGTTAAAAGATCCAAAGATATGATTTCAAATACTTTAAAAAATTCCTGCAAAAGAGATCTGTTACTTTTATATGACAAAGCTGTTTGCACTAAAAAACTTCATGCTAAAATTGATATTCTGATTTAAAAATGTGTAAGTAGTTTAAAAGTTATTCTTACCAAATATAATCACATCCACAGAGGTTAAACCTTGGCAAAAGCCTCCTGCTAGCTTTGTTTCCACCAGTCAGCCTGTCACCCCTGCCAAGAGATCATCATCCAGCAACCATGATCATCCTCCACTGCTGTACCCTTGAGAGGGTTTTATTGCGTCCACATGTGTTCACACAGAGTGAATTCATTCATTCTCCAGGTTTTGCTTTTAGGTCCCGCAAAGAACATTCTTGTACATATCTTCAGGAACAAATAATACATGCCTAGGAATGGAATTTGTGGGATACTCAGCTTGATCATGTTTAGAGCAAATATTGGAATAGATGTAAACCTACTTCCCATAACAGCACTCTCTGTCTTCCTAATATCTTCCACATTTCCTTCATACCAACAATAGAGTTTCCATAGAATGAGTCATGTTTATGCTTCTTGCTACGACAGTTCTTTTCCCAAGGTTAGGCTTTCATCTGCTGCAGTACAGTCCTCTTCCCATAGATTTGCAAGCACAAGCAGTGCTCCCACATTGCCCACTACTTCACTCTTGCTTTGTTAAATCCCAGTCCTGGCCTTCCCTCGGATTTTTGTGGATCTAAGTGAACTCTATTGGTACTTCTTAGTACTGTGTCAATATTTAGCACTTGGGCTCCCCAGTTCCCATAAGACCCCACCCCTCCCCATACCCCACACACTGCATAAGGAAGGACCCCTACTTGCACACAGTACAGTTTGCTCAGATCAGCGACTCGGTCTGGTCACTGTGCACATCAACACGTGCTGGACGTGACTCCTATCATCTGGGAATGGTAGGACAGTGACGTGACAGTGTAAGTGACACAACTCACTGCCCGTATCTTCCTTGAAACATTTCTAAGATACATTTCCTTTAAATTTTCTTAAAATCTGTACTGCCTGAATGGACGATGCTGCTTAAATACATATGAACATGTCATGTTACTCTGCACACCAAGGTTCAAGCTGTCTCTTAAATTTGCTTTCTGTGTGAGTTAGAGATAGATGTGTGTTTTTATATGAAATAATGTGATAATTTACCTCAAGAATAATTAAATAATTAATGCTGTTATAGGGGCTTGAAATATTGCATGGCAGATAGTAAGTACTGTAAAGTTACCTTTAGTTAACTAGATGTGTCATTTTTTGGTCATGGTTATTATGAAATTGACCTTGGCCTACACTATATTTTGGCTGTTGTCTTTTTCTAATTATTTTCCATACAGATGTTCTCTCTGACCTTAAGATAACAATTTTAAAGCATACATTATATACCATATATATATATATATTTTTGCCATACAAGTGTACAATTAAATGACACTCCACAGTTAGGTAGTTGAACTATGTAGAACCACAGGCATGACAATGATTGATTGAAAATTTCAGACCATTTTCCCTAATTCTTAAACTTTATACATACATTTACTGTTCCTTCTGAAATGAAAAATTTTTGTTGTTGTTGGTACCTACCGGAGAATCTTTTAGAATTCCAGAGACTTATTATTTTGTGTAAATGTGGTTATTTATTACCTTACCTGCTTGAATTATCATGGGTTATGTAAATGCTTTATCACTTATTGTGATATACAGATTTAAAAAAATTTTTTTTCTTACATCATACTCACATGTGATTAACATTATTATAAAGGTTAAGGATTAGGGAAGACAGTCTCAAATCTCAATGATGATTTCATGCCTGGATTTTTATAAGCCAGTACATAGGTAGACATTCTAACTATGGACTATCATTTAATTATCCAGATGCATTGCAAAATATATATGTAGTATGTAGTGTATGGTTGAAACTATTATCTAAGATCAGAGGAAAAAAAAGAAAATTAAACTGTATATAACAATGATGTCTGAATACCATGTTTGAGAAGACTGTTCATTGTATATGATTTTTTATGTAATTATCTAAGTCAGTATAAAATATTTATTTTCCAACTCCATTTAATAGGAAGCCATTCTGCTAGACCTGCAATCAAGGAATTATCACCAAGAGAAAGACTCTGACAAAGGAGAGTTATGCCATGTAGTGGTACTGGACAGAAATCAAAACCACGGCATCAAGGATTCTGACCTCAAGGAAGTCTGTGCAGATGTGCAGGAGTGTGAGTGAGTGGGGCTACGATGCAAGAGATTATGAAGAAGTGCTTTTTACCCATAACAGAAATCTCAGAGAGAAGATCAAGATAATAAATCCTTAATTAATTTTCCTCAGAGTGTTTCTGTAAGAAGTAATGCACGTGAATATTTCACCACGACAGGCCATCCATAAGAAGTTCGTTAACAACGAAAAATAACATCAGCCTTGCTAGAAACAGAGATCTCAAGTGTTTGGAAAGTAGACCTGGAGTGAGGCTGCAGGCCCAGGCGGCTCAGCCGCAGAGATGTGCAGCTGAGGAGAAAGTGTATGTGTGCGGTCAAGGTGAGAAGCCAGTCAGCAGTGGTTCCTCAGCTTCACCACTTCACAGAGTTCCTCCTAGTGTGGAAAACACGTTGTCACCTGCGCAGCACAGGAGAACACACACTCGAGAAAAATCTTACAGCTGTAGTGACTGTGGGAAGGCTTTTAGCAAAAGCTCAAACCTCAGGAATCACAGGAGAATTCATTCTGGACAGAAACCTTACAGATGTAGTGAGTGTGGCAAAGCCTTTAACCAGCAGTCACACCTCACAACACATCAGAGAGCGCATACAGGAGAGAAACCTTACAAATGTCCTGAGTGTGGCAAAGCCTGTGCTGAGCATTCAACTTTAACAGACATAAGAGAATCCATACCAGACAGAAATCGTACAGACGTCTTCAGTATGGCAAAGCGTTTACAGTGCGCTCATATCTTACTCAACATGAGACAGTCCATACTAGAGAGGAACCACACAGATGTTATGAGTGTGGCAAGCATTTTACGCAGCGTTCAAACCTTATGGCGCACCAGAGAATTCATACAGGAGCAAAGCCTTTCAAATGTAATAAATGTGATAAGGCTTTTATTGAACAGTCACAACTTTGGGGTCATGAGAGAACTCACACTGGAGAGAAACTTTACAAATGTGATGAGTGTGGCAAAGCCCTCACAAGACATTCATATCTTACTCAACATAAAACAATCCACACTGGAGGAAAACCTTACAAATGTAACGAGTGTGGCAAAGCTTATACGCAATTTGCAAGCCTCACCAGGCATCTCAACATACATACTGAAAACGAACGTAAGCCTCACACATGTGGTAATGCTTTGGTCCAAAGCTCAAGGTTTAGGGGTCACCAGAGATTTTATAATAAGAAAGAAACTTTAAAGCGATTCAGACAAAATTTGTGCATGTATTCAAGCCTTACTTAACGTATGGGAGTCTATCAAGGAGAAAGAAGACATATAGATGGCCAGCAGACACATGAAAAGATGCTCATCGTCACAGATCATCAGGGAAGGGTAAATCAAAAGCTCAATGAGGGGGCTTCCCTGGTGGCGCAGTGGTGAAGAATCCGCCTGCCAATGCAGGGGACATGGGTTCAAGCCCTGGTCCAGGAAGATCCCACATGCCATGGAGCAACTAAGCCTGTGCACCACAACTACTGAGCCTGCGCTCTAGAGCTCGCGAACCACAACTACTGAGTCTACGAGCCACAACTACTGAAGTCCGGGCGCCTAGAGCCCGTGCTCTGCAACAAGAGAAGCCACCGCAATGAGAAGCCCACGCGCTGCCACAAAGAGTAGCTCCTGCTCTCAGCAGCTAGAGAAAACCTGTGTGCAGCAGCGAAGACCCAATGCAGCTAAATAAATAAAAATTTAAAAATTATATTAAAAAAAGCTCAATGAAGTACCTACCACCTCACACCTGTTTACAATGGCTGTCATCAGAAAGACAACAAGCATTGGCAATGGTGTGGAGAAAAGGAAACCCTGTCCACTATTGCTGGGATTGTAAGTTGGTGCAACATTTATGGAAAACATTACTGAAGTTCCTCAAAAATTAAAACCGTCAGATGAACCAGGTATTGCACTTTGAAGTATTCACTGGCAGAAAAGAAAAACCGTAATTTGAGAAAATATAGGCATTTGAATATTCATTGTAGCATTATTTCCAGTAGCCAAGATAGAGAAGCAGCCTAAGTGTCCATCAATAGATGAATGCTTAGAGGAGACGTTGTATGTCCATTCCACACAGTAGAATATAAGTCACCCTTAAGAAAAGGAGTCCAGCCATTTGCAACAACATGGATAGAGCTAGAGGATTTTATGCTAAGTGACAGAAGTCAGGCATAGAAAGACAAATACTGCACAATCTTACTTATACGTGGAATCGAAGAAGCAAAAGCACAAGACAAGGAAAACAGATTCACAGATAAAGAACAAATGTGTGGTTGTTGCCAGAAGGAAGGGCAGTGCAGTGGCAGGTAAAGTAGGTGAAGGAGGTTAAGAGGCATAAACCTCTATGTAATAGATAAGTCATGGGGATGTAATATCCAGCATAAGGAATATGTTTAAAAGGAGCATGGTAGTAGCTAAGGAAAGATGGCTGCACATATCACGGTGATGATTTCATAAAGTATGCACATGTTACCTCATATAGTACAGCCAATACTAACACTGTTGTATATCAATTATATTTCAATAGAGAGAGACTCCATCGTAGAGAGAAACCATACAAAACTTAACGTGGAAAAGCCTATAACTAGGGCTCATGTCTTACCTTATATCAGAGTATACATCTTTGAGAAACCAAGCAAATGTCATGTATAACTGCACAGCAGGGTGATAATTAGTTGGAAATAATATATGTTAGTGCAGCTTCTATCAGAAATAATTTGTCCCTTCTTTGTTCACACAAAATACATCCAACCTTGTATGTTAAGGATAGAAGAAAAGGAAAGGAGAAAAAGTTCTACCAAAACATGACTCCAGTCACACATGAGGATTTCATAAGTTTCATGAGATTCCTCATGAGTCAGAGTCCTATATGGAGTCCTCATCACTCATAACACATTAGGCTGAAACAGAGAAGTAAAACTTAAATAAATCCTACCATTTATTGAAGAAAAAGGAGGTACCCAGTGGTCTTTGGTCCACAGCAAATGTGCAGTTTTGCTGAGCAGATGTTCTCAGGTCCCTATTCCATACGGCCAGGAATGGGAAATGATCTTTTCTGGACTCTTGTCTTTTCCCCTAAGAATGGATATCCAATATTTTGTGTTTTGTTAACATCCAACAGAGTATTACAAACTATGCCTTCCTTGAGCAATAAGCACTTTTCCCCAGTACCTTCCCAGGACCTTTAGCCCATGTGCCACAACTACTGAAGCCCACATGCCTTAGAGCCTGTTCTCTGCAATGGGAGAAGCCACTGCAACGAGCAGCCTGCGCACCACAAAGAGGAGAGGCCCCTGCTCGCCACAAATAGAGAAAGCCTGCGTGCAGCAACAAGGACCCAATGCAGCCAAATAAATAAATAAATAAAATAAATTTATTAAAGAAAAAAACTACAATGAGATATCACCTCACACCCCTTAGAAGGGTTATCATCAAAAAGCCAAGAGATAACAAGTATTGAGCAGAATGTGGGAAAGAAAAAGGATCACTAGCGCACTGCTGGGAAGAATGAAAACTGTTGCAGCCACTATGGAAAACAGTATATAATTACCTCAAAATATTAAAGAGAAAAAAACTATCAAATAATGCAGCAGTTCCACTGCTAGGTATATATCGGACAAGATAAAATCACTCTTAAAAAGATACCTGCACTCCCATATTCATTATACCAGTATTCACTATAGCCAACTCATAGAAACAACCTAAAGTGTCCAAGAGATGAATGGATAAAAAAAAATCTAGTAAACATACACAATGCAATATTATTCAGCCTTAGAAGAGAAGGAAATTCTGTTATTTGTACCAGCATGTATGGACGTTGAGACTATTTGCTCAGTAAAATAAGTCAGACATAAAAAGTAATACTGATCTCACTTATATGTGGAATATACATATATAGAAGAAAAAAGACAAAAGCTAACAGAAGTAGAACAAAGTAGATTAGAGATAAATGAAACAGAATAAAAAGTACAGAAAACTACAACCCTACAATATGGTTGTTTGAAAAGGATGAAAACACTGACAAACACCTAGATTTACTCACAAAGAGAACACTCAAACTACTGAAATCAGGAATGAAAGAGGGGACATCACAACCGTTTACAAATGATTCTACAGAAATCAAAAAAATTCTAAGAGAATACTAAGAACTATTCTATACCTAAATGTTGGATAACCCAGAAGAAATGGATACTCTCCTAGAAAATATAACCTCTCAAGACTGACCCATGAATAAATAAAAAAATGTGAACAGACCTATTCCTATTAAGGAGATTGAAATCACTAATCGAAAACCATACAACAAAGAAATAGCTTCACTGCAGAATTCTTCTCAACATTTAAAAACAATTAAGAGCAATCTTGCTTTCACTCTTCAAAACAACTGAAGGAAAGGGAATAGTTCTAAACTCCCTCTATGAGGCCAGAGTTACGCCAATAACAAAGCCAGACAAAGACACTACAAGAAAACCAGAGGCTACAATCTCTAATGAATAATGATGCAAAAATCATCAATAAAATAATAGTAAACTGAAACCAACAGCACATTAAAAGGATTATATACTGTGACTAATAGGGATATATTTTTGAAATATAAGGATGGTTCAACATATGAAAATCTTTTGATGTAAAACAGCACATTAACAGAATGACGGGAAAAAAACTACATGATCATTTCTACTGAAAAGCATTTGACAAGCATTTCATGGTAAAAACACTCGGTAAACTAGAAATAAAAAAAATACTAACTCAGGCTTCCCTGGTGGCACAGTGGTTGAGAGTCCGCCTGCCGATGCAGGGGGCACGGGTTCGTGCCCCAGTCTGGGAGGATTCCACATGCCGCGGAGCAGCTGGGCCCGTGAGCCATGGCCGCTGAGCCTGCACATCTGGAGCCTGTGCTCCGCAACGGGAGAGGCCACAACAGTGAGAGGCCCGCGTACCGCAAAAAAAAAAAAAAACAAAAAAAAACCTCAACATAATAAAGGCCATATATTAACAGCCCACAGCTACCATCACACTTGAGGGGGAATGACTTAAAGCTTTTCCTCTAAGATCAGGCACAAGAGAAGGATACCTACTTTCACTATTTCTAAAAACATTACTGAAAGTCCTAGCAAGGACACAGAGGCAGAAATATAGATAGAAGGTATCCGAATAGAAAAGGGAAGAAGAATTTTTTCTGTTTACAACCTACATGATCTAATGTGTAGAAAAAACTGAAGATTCCACAGAAAAAAAATCCTGCTGGAACTAATGAATGGATTCAGAAAAATTAGAAAAATAAAATATGTAGGTATAACCTTATCCAAGGAGGAAAACATTTTTACACTATAACCTAAAAACACTGCTGAAAAATATTAGAAAAGATACCAGTAACTGCAAATATATCCCGAGTTCATGGGTTGGTAGGCAGTACTGTCAAGATGTCAATACTACCCAAAATGATCAACAGATTCAACACAATTCTTAGCAAAATCCCAACAGCATTTCTTGAAGAAATACATAAATCCATCCTAAGATTCATATGCAATCTGAAGACCCTCAGAGCAAAAACAAGTTTGAAAATAACAAAGTTGGAGGTCACACAATTATTTCAAAATTATCACAAAGCTAAACTAATCAAAGTGGCACAGTACTGGCATGAAGACAGACCTGTGGAACAGAATAAAGATGTCAGAAATAAACTTGTGTATACGGTCAAATGATGTTCCACAGGGTGTCAGTACCACTCAGTGGGGGAAGGGCAGTCTACTGAACTATGCTGAGAGAGACCAAGATGGTGGAGTAGAAGGATGTGGAGCTCCTCTTCTCCCACAGATACACCAAAAATACATCTCCACGTGGAACAAGTCTCACAGAACACTTACTGAAAGCTGGCAGAAGATCTCATACAACGAAAACTGCAAGAAAGATCCCCACTTAACCGGTTAGGACAAAAGGGGGAAGAAAGGAGTCGGGATGGGACCTGCACCCCTGGGAGGGAGCTGGGAAGGAAGAAAGGTTCCCACACCCCGGGAAACTCCTCGACTGGCTGAGAGGTCCGCCAGGACAGGGAGGGGAGCTTTCGACGCCAGAGAGGAGAGTGCAGGAGCTGGCTTGTGGCCAGTAGGGTAGGGAGAGAGCAGCACAGCCAGTCCTTGCCATGCTGCTGCACTTCCCAGGCCGAGATGTGTGCCTCCTGGTGTGCACAGCAACTGGGTGCTGAAACTCAGGCCTCGGCGACATACTCGGGGAGAGAATTCGGTTTTGCTGTGCAGAGATGGCCCAAAGGTCCTGGAGCGTGGTCTGGGCCACAGCTGGGGCTGTGTGCAGGACAGAGTGCAGGTCTGCAATAGGAGCCCCCTATCAATGCACAAAGAGAGGGGCGTGGGTCTGCTGTAGCAGCCTCATTGTCAGGGTGCTCGGGGGGCACAGCTCTGGCTGTCGCAGGCTTTGGGAGTGCGCATGGGTGGCAGGTTTGGGGAGCGCACATGTGTCACTGGAGGGGCGTCTGACCCGATTATTGGCACTCTGGCAGCAGGGTTGAGTTGGGGAATGGCACCAGCAGCAGTGGACTTTGTGGGCTCACACATGTGGAGTTGGGCTGAATCTGAGCCTATTACCAGTGCTCCTGCAGTGGAGGTGGGTCTGGGGCAGCACCAGCAACCGTGGACTTTGTTGGCGCACACACACCGGGTAGCAGGTGGTGTCACAGAGTCACACGTCCCAGTGGAGGGCTACTGGGGAGGAACACATCATAGCTCCTTTCCCAGCAGGGTGATCAAATCCTGCCTACCTCATGTCACAGCTTAGAATTGGACCTGGGGGCTTCTACCCCAACCAGTACTTCAACTACAGGGCTGTTACAACCACCGAGCAAAGAAGAGGCCCTGCCAAACATCCACTGCAGGCTCCGGTCACCACCACAACAAACATACCACCTATCAAGAGGACAATGGGGGCTTCCCTGGTGGCGCAGTGGTTGAGAGTCCGCCTGCCAACGCCGGGGACACGGGTTTGTGCCCCGGTCCAGGAGGATCCCACATGCCACGGAGCGGCTGGGCCCATAAGCGATGGCCGCTGAGCCTGCGCGTCTAGAGCCTGTGCTCCGCAACGGGAGAGGCCACAACAGAGGCCCGCGTACCACAAAAAAATAAATAAATAAAGAGGACGATGGCCAGCACACCCTGACAAAAGATGTGGCAAGCGTCCATACCAAAAGAGCCCTTGCACCAAAAATTTTGGACTCACACACACAGCCTATTCAGGGATGCTCCCGCATAAAAGCAGCCCTTCAACAGTAGGTAACTGTTGCTCCTAAATTCATAGAGAAATATAAATAAAATGAACAAGCAGAGGAATACTTCCAATTAAAAGAAGAAGATAAATCTGAAACAACAAAAAATTAAACAGACCTCTTCAGTCTATAAGCCCCAAGTTCACAAAGGAGGTAATAAAAATGCTGAAGGTATTAAGAAAGACTATCAAATAGAAATGCAAATCACTGTAGCAAGGAACTAGAAAACATAAAGAGGAGCCAAACAAAACTAGAAAACTCAATCGCCAAGATAAAAACCGAACTAAAGGTAATGAATAAGGAGACTAAATAAGGCAGAAGAACAAATAAGTGATCTGGAAGACAGTGTAACAGAAATCACACAATGAGAAGAGCTGAGAGAGCTACACCAAGACATATTAAAATGGCAAAAGTTAAAGAGAGGATTCTAAAGGCAGCAAGAGAAAAACAAAGTCAGTTACAAGGGAACCCCCATAAGGCTATCAGCTGACTTCTCTACAGAAACTCTTGCAGACCAGAAGATAGTGGCAAGATATATTCAAAGTCCTGAAAAGGACAAACCTGCAACCTAGAATACTCTACCCAGCAAGATTATCATTTAGAATAGAAGAGGTAAAGAATTTTTCAGACAAGCAAAAACTAAAAAAATACAGCAATCCTAAACCCACCCTAACAGAAATATTGAAAAGATCTTCTCTAAATAGAAAAGAAGAATCTATAGGAAAGGGAAAAATCACAATACAAAAGGCAAATATACAAAAGGATTGAAAATCACATAAATGAGCCAATTCACAGATTAAAA